AATAAAATTTTAGTTTTCTCTTTTTTGTGCTGAATGGTAGTAATCAACCATAATATTCTCATGTAAACAAGAAATCATAGCCAACTTTGGTCAAAAAAATAAGGTAATAAATGAATTACTAATCAATGTTGAAGATAAATCTTTCAAAGTGTGGAGGCATGTGAGACAATATTTAAAAGATCTTTGGCAGAGAATAAAAATGAAAAAAATCACAAAGCTAGGTCGCTAGATTATTCATTTTGCTAATATTTACTGTGTATTAACCTGCAGCAGGATTTCTACTAGGCTTTAGGATTACCAGGATAGCTGAAAATCCTGTGGTCACAGTCCAATCAAGGAGATGGTCTGTCAAGTACCAACCAGTTGCAATATGTATGATCTACTTATTTATTAATAGAGAAGTTAGTAATGTTTTAATTTATGATTTCCTCCTTAACTATAGTGAGGCTATAAGAAACATAAAACTTCCTGATAGAGGGCACAATACTTCCTGACTGCTTTTGATAATGATGTTAGCTTCTATGCCATCATCACATTTTTAGAGATCTATATTTCTGAGGTCTGGATCTTATACCCTAAGCACCAGGAAATGGAATCTTGGGATCCTTCTAGGTTATAGGCCATAGGCTACAACCAGGCCTGGGGTATCAGAATGATGAATTGTTTAGAAAAGCCAGCTTTTCTCTGTTCAGGCCAGCTCCTAGTACAAGTGAATCCTGAAGGGGGAAGGGTCATTCTTAGGTCCTGAATGGTACACAAGAGAACATGTTCGTTTCTTCCCTCCACATAAAAAATCTCTGAAAAATCACAAAGCCTTATAATATTACTACACATTACTGGTTTGATACAGAGCCATCATAAGTAGACCCAGAAAACATCATCTCCCTGACTTGGAAAGCAATAATTTTAAAGTATCAAATGGGAAATGAGGTCTTAGTCAAGTGCATCTCAAATTGCAAATTCTAAAGTGGTATCAATTTTAATGGAGAACAAACAAATTGCTTCCAACTAGATGCCCTTCAATCTTTAAATGGTCATAGTTTATGACAGACATAAAGGATATAGATTCTTAAGCCTCTATTTCCAAACATAGAATTTAAACATCATAAAAGAACAAGTATTTCCTTTCTTATTTAAGTGAGCTCTGACCCAACCTGCTTTTTGACATTTATAAAAAAAAATTCAATGACAAACATAGCTGATGGCATAAATATAGAACACTATCCTCTTATTTTAGATAGAACCTTCCTCTTACATAGGTTCCAACATATCAAAGAAAACAAAGAGAAGGAACTTGTGAGAACACCAGTTCTGACAGGCAGAGGGAAACTTAGAAAAATAAAAAAATCTCTATGAACAAGTATAGAGGTTTCCAGATCTATGGGTGCAAAGTAATTCCTTTCATGGTCATCTCTCAGTCTGACATGTCCAGAAATGGGTATTGGATAATGGCCCACAGTTGTCATTAGAAATCTCAATTCTGGCCATCACATATACTGTAAGAAATGGCCCATTCATCTGCATGGCTAGCACAGATTTGCTCTTGGATATAGACTGCTATAGGGGAAAGTTGTGGTATCTAAAATCATAACACTCTGTCCTGATTATTTCCCCAGAAAACACTTCTTTTGCTCACTGTTTTGGAACATTTTCTTGGGGACACCTACAAGTCAGGGAGGAGAGGCTGTAGTTATGTCAGTGGATAACTGAACATAGTTTAGGAGAGAAATGCCATCACCTACATGGCTTAGCATTAATTTGAATCAAAGAAATTACTCTCTAGTTAAAATACACACAATTAGTGTTCCTTTTTTTTCTGAGGAACTTTGGTCTACTACTATGCAGTAGGAAATGCTACTAAAAAGAAATATTTAAAAATATTCTTAAATATAGGAGGAAAATATTCAACTGCATTAACAGTTAAAAATATAATAAAAACTGTAAGAAATTTAAAAAAGAAATATGAAAAATCCACATTTGATGTATCAGTTTGTTAATTTAAAAGGCTAATACTGTTTTTGGGACACCTTTCATACTGGGCACTTTGGCTACATATGTGCCAAACATTTTACAATGCTTATAATCTCTGCTTAGTAATTCTACTTAGAGGTACTTAATTTAAAGAAATAATCAGATACATAAAGACTCATAAAAACATGTTAATCTAAAAAATTTATTATAAAAAATAAAACATAATAGTCTTAACAGTTTACCACATTTAATGTGTACTTTGTATCAATTGAACAAATACTTTTCAGTAATCCCTGATCATATAACAATAGGAATGTGGTTAAACAAATTGTGCCACATCAATGAGGGAATGTTATGTTACTATGAATATATTATGTTCAATGTAGCTCTATTACAATAGTCAAACTTTGGAAAAAAAAC